TGAGAGAGAGAGAGAGAGTCTGAGAGAGAGAGAGAGAGAGAGAGAGAGAGAGAGAGAGAGAGAGAGAGAGAGAGAGAGAGAGAGAGAGAGAGAGAGACCCTTCAACTGCACTAATGCTCAGCTATGTAGGGCATCCATGCTCAGTAGGGTTAAATAGTTGTGTAGGTTGCACCGAAAGTATGACCTGAGTGCGCTTGGGACCATAGACTAAGCCACAAGTAGGCCTGGCCGGACAGCAAGGTTTGACCGTCAAATAGTATCATGAAGATTTGTGCGTGTGGTAGAGGCTAAGGGATAGACAAGGACATGATGGACGGTGTTGAGTTCAGAATTCATCCAACATTTCAGGTACTAGTTGTTTCTTCAAGTTCGTGTTGATTGAGAATGATTATCATGTACTATGACAAACAATGATAACGTACGTGATTTGTGGGACCAATGTGGGTGGAGTAGTTGACACGAGTAACGAGAACTTCAAGGGGGGGACTTATATACCGTCAGTCCTGGGGTCTTGTCTGAGGTCTGCTTATATGTTTGAGTTTATGGGTGGCAGCTGTGTAACTGTGTTGATGAGCATGAACTGTCAGTGAGCAATGTTCTTTGAAGTATTAAGCGTTCGATCGCCGATACACCCAACCAGCCATATCCATACACATAGTATACAAAAACTCGTAAAATTAGTGATTATCATTGTCATGTATCCCAGAATCGTTCCCCAAAAGCCAACTGTAACGCAGCTGGGGGTAGTGTTCCTGTAAGGACTTTTCATTGCTTGCAAAGTGGCGATTCATCAGGGAGCCTGCAACCTGATTGGGGTGAAGGGAGTAGACGCGAAGAAAATGAGGGAAGAGGATATTACAAGAAAAAGTGAAAGCTACAAAGGTCAGAAAGGCAATAAGCGTGAAAAATTAGAGGGGCCGTCATTTCCAGGATCTCGGCTCGCCCCACCATCGTCCTCGTCGTGTATGCGTGTGTGTGTGTGTGTGTGTGTGTGTGTGTGTGTGTGTGAACACATATGGAAGTTAGCTTCAGCACGGTAAAGGGCCATGCACCATACAACTGCAACACCTCAGGAGAGAGAATGACGCATCTGAGTGAGTTGAGTCCAAAGGCAATTCTTTAGGTACTACACTCAAACAGACCGCAGCACTAGCATAAATAGAACGGTGACAAACAGCGCGAGGCAGTGAAGGAAGAGGCAAACAAATGACAATGAAGTGAAAGACATGAGACAAAGATGGCATTGGACGACCACCAGCCGCAAGTGACATTGGCTGAAGAGCACGACGGAGGTGGGTGAGCAGACAAACAAAAAAGTGAAAAATAACAACCGCACAAGACAACCAGCAAGGCATAGAATGACCAGCAGCAGTGGAGGACACAGGTTGGAGGGCACGGGGGAGGCGGAAGGGCAGAGGACAGCACACAAAACAGGAAATCCAGGTTCGAGGGCACGGGGGAGGCGGGAGGGCAGAGGACAGCACACAAAACCGGAAATCCAGAAAAAAAGACAAGTTGCCAAAAAGTGCACAGACCGAAAAAAATAAATGCGAAACTGATGATAGATTGTTTCACCGGAGTTGCACCGACTCATCAGGAGGCTGAACCCTTGACAATCTGTGGATGCCTGTATTGATGATTAGGGTCATGCACCATTTGACCCTTGTTGAAGGCAGACTGTCCCCAAACGGAACACAGCTGCAGCGGGCAGCAACCCAGCGAAGCACCAGACAACTCTGCAGAGGCAACACGGCTGCTGAAAGCCAAAGACTACTGCAAGGAACGGCATGGCAAGTGGATGAGCAGCACAGCAGCCGTACACTGAAGCACAAGGCGACACAAGCAAGGCAGGCAAACGGCACAACACACAAGCAAAGGACATGGAAGGTACGGCCAGCAGAAGGGCCGCAAGGAAGCGGAGCAGCGAAGCGCAAAGCAACACCCACAGCATGGCCACGCCACATAGCAACCACAGCAGCTTGCCAAGAATGACCTGTGAAGCAAGCTGGACGGGCAGCAAGGCAACGGCAGAGCGCAGACGAGGCAGTTCTCACATCCAACATGGAGCAAAGCGGCACATTGAATACGAGCGCCATTGAGCCAGGGAGTCGCTTCCACGAGCATCCGTCATCACCCACAGACGACACAGACATCCCGAACGGAGCGCCCCGCCGAAAAGGTATGAATCCCCCTTGGCGGCGGCCATCCGTGGCCGAATCCGCGGGCGTGGCCAGTCCGTCAACCCCGCGGACGCGTCCGCGCGGACGCGCGGCTTTGAAGCCACGTGGCGGCCGCAGGGGGGCCAGTTTCGAAATTCGGGAGATGCCACGTGGCGGCGCATCCCCGGCCCCACCCCCCCACACAAAAAAAAACGAAAAAGATCAACTTTTGGTTGGGGGGGTATGGGCGAAATCGGACGAAATTGAAAAAACAAAAAAAAAAGTTTTTTTTTTTTTTTT